TCCAGCCGGACGGACGGCCGACCTGCCCCCACCCCACACAAGCTCTCTCTCCCCCCCCCCCCTTTTGTAACGAGACTGCAAAGCCGCGGAAGTTCCTCTCCTTTTCCGGAACAAAACGAAGGCTGTGAAAGAGAAGCCGGCGGCTCCTTGAGAGCCACGGTGGCGAGGATGCCAGGAACAAAAGCCAGGGCGTTTTGTCCCCTCTCAGTCACTTTTTCGCTGGAGAAAAGAGGGGCTTTTCGGGGGGGGGAGGGCGAAAAAAGGGCCAGAAGGGAGATCCATATCGATCGTGCAAACGAGGGGCGAGAGGAGGGTAGAGAAAATTTCAGCCAAACGCGGGCTATGTGGTCGGGTTAGACAGGAAGACTGGAGGGCAAGGCGTGGTTGCCTTTTGGGATTTGAAAAATTAAACTGTCTGTGTAAAATTTAATTATTGTGGTCCTGAAGTCAGCCCCCGCCGGTTCTCCATGCGAAGGGGCGCTTTGCTCGAGAGTTAAACAATTGTCACGTGTCTAAAGATTTAAGGAGCTATCCCTGTCCTCCCATCACATAATTCAACGTAGGTCTTCTCGCTGACAGGTTGGGAAAGAATTAAAGTTGGGGGGGGGAAGGAAGGTGAGATAATATTGGCGAGCATTAAAAAAAATATTCTTCAAGGTGCCTCTCCTTTGTGTGTGTGTGTGTTCCACTTTATAGGAGTAACTGAGACAGGGCGCTTTTGGACACTGGGCGGACGAGGCGCCCTACTCTGCTGTGCCCGGTCATTAAGAGATTAATTCAAAGTCTGAACTCATGAAGCGCAAGCTTTATTCTCTATCTTTTATTGAACCTCGAAAGGAACCGATAAAACATCCTTGCTCGCTCTCTCTCTCACACACAAAACAATTAAAAAAAACAACCACGGGGAATTCTGTTGACCAGATTTTCTTGCCCTGGGGAATGATCCGCTTGTAGAGCGTATAAATTAAAACAAGGGTTGTTTTTTTTAAAAAAGTGTCACGAGAACCTAAAAAACAACGAGCGGGCAGCATTCCGGACGAATGTTGTAACTGCCAGACTTTGAAATATAAACCGCTTAACCTCCCAACGAGGCAATGCAGGCAGGATCGCTCTGCAAGGCTAAGAGCGGGGACTTCTTGCTCAGAGGCAAACGTTGCGCGGGGGAGTTTGGGGGTGACCCTCTTCCACTGGCGGTTCTTAAAAATGCATGGTCTGTCTTATGGGAACGATTCCACCCCACTTCCCACCTGCTTCGCGACGCTAGATGGTTCTGACAGAAAGCCGGTTTGTGCACCCACTCTGTTCTGCCTTATCCGAGACGTTGATTTTTCCCCCTTCTCCTTTTGCAATCGTTCCCTACCAGGGAAAGGCGTTTGTGCTGCGGAGGGGACTGCTTCCTGAGTCTTGCAGGACCTGATTCAAATCCTTCATGGCCCCAGTTCCAGAGATACAGCTTTGTTAGACGCTTACAAGCAGAAACGATTCAGCGTCCTGTGAAACCCTGAGGACTAACCTATTTAATACGTTATACATTTTCGCGGACTGCTCCTGTCGATTTCATAAAAATTCACTTACCGTATTATTTGTGGATTTTCTTGTGAACTGTTACAGTTCCCGGTGACAGGGACATCCAAGATTTACCTGTGTTGAAGAAAACTCAGGATTATTTAAAGGAGTTGGTTCTATCTGTAGCGTCTGGCCCTGGAGGAATAGGAAGGCCGATCGCTTCTCTTCATGTTCTTTTCACCCTCCTGTGAAGAGGCTCTCGGAATGCCCACGAGGGGGGATTCCTCGGTGATTTGTCACGCGTGAACTCTTCCGTTCACGACAGCGATTTTTTTTCCAGACCTATGTTGGCGGCAGTTGAGGCAGAATTCATTAATCCTGATTAAAGGATGATTGTGAGTCGCTGTGGACACACATTCATATCCAATCACTACCGGTTTCTAGAAACAAGGAAGCTCCCGCACTAGAGTAATTAATCCATTGTTTCGTTTAAAGCGAACTGCTATAAATTAACTCGGAGGGGGTGTGTGAATGAATAGGGCGTGTTCCATTTGACTTCCCATCCGTCGGGATTTATTGCCACCCGAAACGGGGGGAGGGAGATGAGGGCGGCACACAGAGCAAGATCCCGCAGCGATCTCTAGCAGAGACGAAACCTGCTGAAGTACATGAAATCGATCCGCGCCCAAGCGTGGATTGGATCGAGCGCTTAATGAATTAATAACCACGTCACCGTGACGTCATGGCGTCTCCGTGCCATTTGGATTGTGAATGAAGCCCGCAGCTTTGCGGGGCGACGAGTCTCTCACCGCCGCTGGCTCCTCATTGTCGCTGGCGGTGGCGAGAACTGAGGAAGGCGCGGGCATTTGGGGGTGGGTGGGTAGGTTGATCTTTTGAAAAATGCCGGTCTTTCCATTCAGCCCTCAATCCTACCAACAATGAGCGCTGAGCGACTTCGGAGGGAGGGGGGCCCACTCCCCTTCCCTGTAGTGGGTGGGTGCCCAATCCTCTTCCTGCCCCAAGGGTGCCCACCTTCATCGAGGGAAGGGTCCGGAAGGGCATCTCTGTCTGTCTTGAATGGGAAAGAGATCGGGAACGACATACCTCCACGGCCAGTTCTTGAGGAAGAGAGGGGAGCAACGTGGGGGTCAATCCCTCTTTTTAACTATTTTTGAAGGCCAAAACAATTAATGAGAATTGGTTCAGGCACCGAAGGACTGAACGAATTGGTAGGATCGGTGAGAAAATAGGAGAGGTCAGGGAGGATGAACAAGTTGGGCGCTTCTAAAGGTTGGAAGGAAAAACATGTGAGCCTCCCATTCGTCTCCTCCTCCAGGCGGGTTATAGGAGAGCAGTGGGGCCGCATTGGGCCCTGTGAGAAGCGATTTTGGTAGGATCGGTGAGAAAATAGGAGAGGGCAGGGAGGATGAATAAGTTGGACGCTTCTAAAGGTTGGAAAGAAAAAACAGGTGAGCCTCCCATTCGTCTCCTCCTCCGGGCGGGTTATAGGAGAGCAGTGGGGCCGGGTTGGGCCCTGTGAGAAGCGACGCCGCATCCAAGAGGAGATGGAGGAGAAAGCAATGCAGAGAAGACAAAGGAACCCGCCCTTTGGGAAATGGATGAGGAGAGAGCCTTTCCTCACCCCTCTGGAGCTCTTCGGGCTCGTCTGGACTACAACTCCCACCATCCCCAGTCAACATCGCCAAGCGGCTGGTTGTTTCAATGGCTCTTCTCCGGTTGTCAAAATGGGGCGAATGATGTTACCACTGAGATGTTAACTCCCTTGCTCTTTGTCGTTGATAATCACGTCGTTCTTGCTACAGCGTGTATTTAAAAACAAAAGGAAAGTCAAAACTCAAAACTAGACTAAACAAAAGCGTGGTGGCAGCTTAAGGGCTGGCAGGTTTATTTCAGTGTGATCCTGAGCGGACTGCAAACCATTCCCCTCCGGGACAGGGCGCATAACCAGCCAGGCCAGGCTAGTTATGCAGTGTACACGGAGGACAGGGTAATGGGGCTCAGCGATCACACTCTTGTTTCACTCCCTATGCCTGCGAAAGAGGGTTGTGTAACCCACCATATCTGTGTAACCCACCAAATCGCCTAGCCCTTTAGGTGCCACAACACTTTTATTTTGTTTATTATTTTTAACTTTGTTGCACACTTTCAAAGAGACGAACGCCGCCGCCTTTTTGTAAACGCCTTTCAAAACCACGTGAACCAGCCCCATCGGCTCAGTGGGCTCCGGTCCTAGCCTTCTGTCCCCCAATTCCTGCTCCGGTTGGCACCGCTGTAAACTGGAGCTCCAAATGAATTACAGCCCCTCCGCTTCAGGAGACTGGAAGCGGAGGAAGTGGTCCATTGCAGAGCCCTTGCTTCTCCCGAGCTGCAACTAATCTCTACCCGGACTCAAATTAAACCCTGTTCCCCTGTGATTCTGGAGTAGGGGATGGACAGGCTGCCGTAAAATCGCAGGCGATCTCCCGTTAAATTGAATTTATAGGTTTCCATGGCTGGCTTTGGAGGGAAAATTCTACAGTTCTCAGTCCTTTGGGGCAGTGCGGACTGCGGTAGGTGGACGTCTCGACTACCTTGTCAATAGCAGCTAGGAAAGTTGTTTTTGCTTGCTGTATAGCACCCTGATCTTTATTCATAACCATCACCTTCCAAGGTCCACCCACTAATATAAATTAACCGAGCGATTCTGTACATCGGAAGACAGATCAGCCGAGATGAAGGAAGCTTTCTCCTGGCAGGTACTGTATACACATGTACATTGGACTGGAGAGTGAATCGCTGCCGGCAGTAAGCACCTGGGCTTTCTCCTGCCTCGACTTTTCCCCCTGGTGTGGTATTTGCACCGATCTGTTTCTTAAAATGAAGAGAAGACAGTCTGGAGGAGAAGCTTGAACCGAGACAAAAGATATTATGGAACGCAAATGTTAAAAGGCGAATCCCACGGAGGTATTATTTCCAAATGCGTTTTCAAAATAGTAATTTTGGGAAGACTGGAATGAGACAAGGATTTTGTGTAACTCGAGAGCTTACATAAGGGCACCCTGCAACCGCTGCCGACCCGATGAAGAATGCTGCGTAATTCCAAAGCTTGCTCCCTTGCAAGAGAACACGTTAGTTCCATCCTGTCAACTATCGCGAATAAATGACTCTAGATGAAATCAATACTGACCCCATCCCTACGTTTTGTATCTCAAGTCAAACACCAGGGAATGAAAACCAGGAGCTTTTTCCATCGTTTTTCCTTTGTGCATTCTAACCTGAGGGCAATTTTATGCACTCGGCGTACAGGAACAGTAAAACTTTTTCTAAGTTTGTGCCTCCACAGCAGTCCGGGTTGACAAAAATTCCCCGCAAGCAGAAGACTGGAGTATCCGGGATAAAGCTTCCACATGGCCATTTATTTCCCTGGCAACCTACTTTTCTATGTCTAGCCCTTCCTTTGCATTCCCCGCCGGCGTGTATGTGTGTGTGTGTGTATAGAACTATGTATGGACGGCACTGAAACAGGTGTCACAAGAATTTTTTAAAACCTCTGTAAACCACCTATGGCTGGCGATGCTGTCATCAGACAAGCCCCTTCAATCATTCTGCAGACCTCTCCTCCCTCTTTTCTCTTTTACAGATAACATCTGAACTCTCACCCAGGTCAACCAAAAGCAGGGCTGAAGGTTCTTCGGGCTTTTAAATATTGATCCCACACCAGCGGGTGTGGTCTAGTAAAGCTTCCTAAGTAAGTTTGAAGACCCAGACCACATCAATAACAACAAAACAGAAACAATTTTAAGAACCGAGAAGAGGAGAGTTTATAACCTCTAACCATTGCCTTGTTTAGCAATGATTGTACTGTACTTTTGGCTGCACTTCTTACCGCATTTCCAAAATGCGGGGGAAAGATTGGCGCCTAACCATCCGATACAAAAATGCTCCGCGCAGCCCGATCCTATGCAGGAATATTAACTGAATTCAGGGAGGCTTACTACAATGACAAGAAAAATTGGATTTCCAATAATAGATTGCTTCTTAATGCTGCTCTTCTCATCACTGGATTCCTTCCCTTACTTTCCCTGAATGGTCTTTGCCGCAGGAATGAATGAATTGATATCTGAGGTGGCGCTTCTGCTTCGCGGGCTAAGATATATTTGGGAGATCTTCCCACTTTTGGAAGATTCGGTGACGTCCAGTCTCGCCGTGCGTACATCGGGATCACCTTTTAAAAAGATCCTTTCTAGTCCCTAAATATAGGTACTACCAGTGCTGATTTCCTACCCTCCTCTTCCAGATAACATAGGTCTACTTGATCCGCAAACCCCTCTCCATTCCCCACGGTGAATCCGGCTGGTTTGGACTTTCAGCAAAAAGGGACGCGTTAAAAGTTTTTTTTTTCCTCTCGAGTGTACCACTCTTGCCGCGCAGAACAAATCTTCCGAATTTAGAAAGCTAGCACCTCAAGGAAAAAAGGTTCTCTTTGAAAGGTGGGAGTCATCGGAGCATGGAAGGTCTCTGAAACAGGTGGGGCTTCTTCCTACGAGAGTGCGAAGTGGTAGAGCCCAGTTGAGCCTACTTTATCTACCTGTGTGTCCAGTGCTTTAAAAAGCCTCCGCATTTCCCCCCCTCCCCTTTTGGATCTGATCGGACGCAGTGATCATATTATCGAGGAGTCGAAGAATAAATAATTCTGCAATTTTGGAATGCGTCGGGGTGAGCTGATCGATGACGTGCAAGGTCCCCAAAGGAGCAGCAGGTCCTTTTCAATGCAAGAGCCACAAAAGTGACTCTGAATGGCGCTGTTCAGCGCTCGGAACAAGCGCGGTGATTCACTTTGTGTCGGGGAGGGGGGCCGGGGGAGTTGACATTTTGAATAGGGAGAGGGGCGTCAAAGTCTGTTTCCAGCAGAGAAGCAGGCGATTAGCAAAAAAAGACGCAATTTCGGAAAGGTGAATGGGGGGGGGCTATTATTCCGATGACGCACTTTCTGTTCCAGAGGCCTCTATAAAGAAAACAGAGAACAGAACAGCGGAGTCTAAGAGTTTAAGAGGAGCAGAACTGAAATTCAGGTGGGAGGCCTCAAGGCGATGGAGCCGCGTCGGATAACTTCCAAGTAATATTTCTGTGAATTTAAAAGTTACAAATCCTGCCGGTCGCCTGGGTATTGGCCGCAAAAGTCCATCTATAACTTTACAGCTGTGTCCAGAGCTTGAAAAAAAATTTTTTGGAAGTACCACCCCCAATATTCCACAGCCAGTGTGGCCAATGGCCATATTGCCTGGGGGATTCTGGGAGTTGTAGTCCAAACGAGTCACTTTCTTAAGCTCTCTTTAACTAATTGATGGCCGTTCGTAGTTGCTGGTGCACATCACGGTAGCTTGCCAGCGAGGAGTGCTGTCCACAGCACTTTTCCCAGCTGGTTGCTTTCCTGTAGGATAATAGGACAGAATCAATTATTTTCC